CTAATCGGGGCCCATTCGAGCCTTCAATGTTGCGATCGTTTTTCTCTACAGGCCAGTATGTGAAGCTAGCTCCTTATGCTCCTCATTATGCACAACCAAATGAACGTTTTAACGGTAAGTTGCATTAGTGTTTGTTATCTGGAGTCCAGTATCGGTACTTGATTAGATGGAGAGATCGTCCCCCTTGATAGGATCATATTCTTGAGAATGGGCTACAATTTTCGTTACTATCAAGTATAGAGTTTTGATATTTGGTTCTTACGAAAGATCGTCTCTTGTGGTAGAAGTTTATCCACTCGACAGAGTCGAGTTTTCTCCCACTCCGGGAAAGTTGATGCAGACATCATTTTTTCCATTATGGAATTTTTTTATTATTTACGTTCTATTATTGGGCTTATATTATTGGACTGGCTCAAGCCCGTCACTAGTAGATTAGGCTTTTCTACTGTTTATTGGATTTTTCATTGTAATTGGAATAGTTGATGAATATGATGAAATTAAATGGCTGCTGCCAACGTTTTCTCCCATTTCCCCTGATTCTTCCCCTATCGTGGTCTTCTTCTTTTTCTTCTTCTGGCTTCATCTGCTTTCTTCTTCTCTGCTCCTGATTGCTTTTTCTCTCCTGTTGAATATTTCTCAATCTATCCTACATCACCAAGCCTCTAGTTCCAACAATCCTGACTCCTCCCCAAAGGAAGGGGAGAAAGCTGAAAGAATTGCTCCGTGATGTGCTCTAGGAAGCACTGGGCTGCCTCGAATTTGATCTTCATCGCAATACATCTTAAAAGAAGTTTCTTAGGAGTTGAAAAATAAAGGTTCAAGCGAGGACAAAGACAGAATATTACCAAAAACCTTTTATTTATCTTTTGGAGATTTGTACCGTTTCCTCTACTTTCAAGAAAATTATCAAAAAAAAAAAATTAAAATAGATAATCATATTTACAAAAAATGGAGGGTTGTAAAAGGAAAATAGAGAGAAAATGATAACAACAGATGTTAATTCCCTTACCGGTAACAAAGATAACAAGAAGTACAGCAAAGGTAATGCTTCCTCCATCATACCATCCTTCGTCCAGGCCCTGGTAAACAACGCAACAGATATTTTAGACTCAGAGCATCATAAAAGTTTGGCTTCCCATCATATCGAGAAGGAAGTACTTATCATGTGAGTACGATGTAGATAGAAAAAGTACTACAGGTCTCTCGACGTAAATCATATTTGCATTGCTTGAATTTTATAAATGGCAGAATTAAAACCAAGCCCCTTTAAGATCTAAGAATAGCATTTTCAGAATGCATAGAAAGAGGCCTCGGAACAATGATTCACGTAATTCTGATGTCTGTGCCAACATGGCCTGTCATGGTAGAAAGATAGCACTTGTGTGGAATAAAAGGAGATAGATTTTCAGAAGGAAGGTACATGTGATTTTCCTTAAGAAGTTTCTAGAAGGAATTATATGATATGCTTAAACTATATCTTAATAAAGAAAATCAATTTGTTAAAAATTGAACATACTACAGCGTCCCAAACTCACCTCTGTTTTTATGCCAAGAGCCAATGATGCTGCAGCGGCTATTATTAAGATGATGAGAGTTAAATCTTGCCAAGCCTCCCAAAGAAACCTCTAAATAAAATCATGCAAGAATAGAAGTAAAATATATAGATATATATATAGAAACATTAAAACATTAATTCACTGTAAAAAAATGTAATAATCTCTAATCAAAGTTAGCAAACTACATACCAAGAAACTTCGTCCTTTTTTTGTAGGATATGTATTTGAACCAAAGGCGTGCTGTCTTTGTGGTAATTCATCATCACCACCAATTCCGGTTTCTATGTTTGTTTTTAGCATCTTCGATAACCCTTTAACCTGGAGGAAATGGCATAGTAAGCATTTATTTGTACACAGACATGAATAATTGACAAAAAATACAAAGAAAGAGGAATTAGAATTGACTTGCCCCTCCATATTGTTGTAGTGCAGAACTATTATGGTCCCTGCTCATTGAAGCAAGTTCTTCGTGGCCAATTCCATAATCCCCATTAGGAGTTGGAGGAGATACCGCAGTACCCAATACTAAATGAGCAAGAAATAAGCCAAGGTGGTTGAAGAAAAAGGATTCTAATTAAACAAACCTTCTCAATAAACTACATTATTCCAAGAACTAAAAGAAAAATAGTCGAGTAGATACCGATTGCTCGCTGTCCAGCCAATTTGAAGAGCAATGCAGCCTACAACAAGAAATTCCCAAAATTAATATTTGAGTCTGAAGAAAAATTGAGACCAATTGATTAATGTGCTATAGTATTACCCGTATGGCTTGAGCGTGTGCTCTTATCATGCTTCGTCGTTGTTCTTGTTCATCATCTTTTTTCAAATCCAATGTGTACCGGAACCGTCGGGAAGCATTAAGAACAAGTGCAGCTTGCTGTAAATGATCAAGGATTTGCACAAATCAAAAATAAATCAACGGATAACTTAACAAAACCCTTGTGTCTTATTTGATAAGGAAAGAGGAACAAAAACTGAAGACAAATGCAAAGGAAGCTAGAAACAAAGACAAATAAGATAAAGTATCACAATTTACACCTCAACCTTTCAAGTTTATTGCCTGAGCGGCGCCCCTAATCTATGAACCATTTATTTTGCAACTCATATAATCATATTGAATATGTTCCATTCGATCGATTATAATGGAATTCTCTTCTGTTGTATTGATGGAATTTCAATATAAACAAAATTATTGAATTCATTGTATGGAAATGAGAATCAAATATATTCAAATATATTACTATCTTTACCCTCCAACGCTTGAGCGATTCATGTGACGCATTTTTGGTATTGCCAATGTCGAAAGGATCGGAGAACTCTTCTTCATCGGCTGCCAAGCATTTTGCACTGGCGAAAGCAGCATCAATGTCGATGACGCCAGCCTCCGGGTCATGCTGTGGTTCGGCAGAGGTGGGCGGCGAAGAGTCGTTTCCAGTCTTCATATCGTCCGCGGCGTCCTGTGGGACACAGCTGGAAGAGAGATGGCACCGCCGCTTCAGCGTGGCCACCACTCAACGGAAAAAGATGAGGAGAAAATTATTGGCTCCAATTTGAAAAAATGAATTGAAAATTTATCCAATCGACAGCCCATGCAGAAAATGTACATCCAGAAAATTCATGGAGCATTTGTTCTTGATCGTGTTTATGGTGATTAATATTTTTACGTTTCAGAAACTAGAGGCATTCCGATTTATTCTCCATGGCGTTTGATTATCGTGAATCCATTGCATTTATAATTGGATTGTAAATTGGCATTTGGGCGAGTGAGAGGGAGAATTATACACTGAATTGAACAGTACGAAACTTCCACGAACCTTGTTAGCTGAATTGATGTTATGACCTCGTACTCGACGTGACGTGACGTGACGTGACATGACAGTCACCAGTTCTTGCTTGTATTAGCCTGTGTTTGGCTCCCGTTAAATTAAATTACATTATATTAAATTTTTCTCTCTATTCATTACAATCACGCATTCATCAAATAAAATAATATTACACACAAATCTAAAATTTTTTATTACTTTTCCACCACACATTCTCCCATCAATCACTATTCCAAAAATTTTCAACTATCAAAAATGTAAAGTAATGGGGGCCAAACAGGGACTAGTGTATGAATTATTCTTCGTGTATAGGATTCTTACATAACCCCACCTAACACCAGGCACTTTTTTTTTACTTTTTTATTGGCGCTGGGCCCATCGTCTGTGAGTGTTCTAGAGGTTCATGTACACCAAGAATAATTTATTAGTGTATATCGAGTCATGTTGAGCTATACACTTTGTCGAACTTGACCTAACCTAGAGTGGGTCAAGCCAAAAATGAACGTTAATAAAAGTTAATAAAATGTGTGGTTAAAAATGAGTTTGAAAAATAATGAGTTTTGAAAAATTGGAGGACAAACATGGACTTGATGAAAACGTTTGAGCGTATTTCAACTACTATATTGGCGGTATAGTTGTTTGCTCGTGTTACATAAAATGTAGAATTGATGCATGTTTGGTTAGGCGATTAAATTAAAAATTAAGAAATTATAAGTTGTGAATTCTATTAAATGTTTGGATAATAAATGAATAGTAATTGTGGATCCAGTTTGAACCTCATTTTTTTCCAAAATGCATTTTGAAATAATATTTTGATAAAGAAAATAAGGAAAAATTTTCAATTTGCGTGTCCTATTATTTTATTGAAAAATGTGTAGTTAAAAATAAGAAAGATAAAAATGTATTTTGAAAATAGTGGGAACCAAACCTACAAACTTTGAGATTTTTGAAGTTTTAAGAGAATTTGATTAAAATACACTTGAAGCAAATTCTATTGCTACTTTGAGATTAAGGAATAAGGATGTTACTAGTTTACCAACATAGACATCTTTGTCAATGTAATTTACCAATTTAAATCTCGTTCAATGTCGAGTAATGAATCATTTATTCGTTACTTTGGTTGGATTCATTGCTAAATCTATTACAACATTCGGAGCATAAACACATCGTGTTAGTTTTGATCAACTCTCTCATTTCTATCATATTCTATTCAAAGTGTGTCACTCTTACGAACAAGAGCCTCTTTAAATCTATAAAAATAAATAAAATATGTAGCAAACATCTTAATTCGTCTTTCACGTGCAATTACATCCACAATAACAAAAAAGTTGGGGGAACAAAGTTTATAGGAAATTCCTCATATGCTTTGGGATTGTGATAGCTTCTCGTTCTTACAACATATAGAAAATATGTACTACACATCTTAATCCGTCTTTTATGTGTAGATTGAGTCATGTTCAATACCGATTAAAATCTGAACTTTAATTTAAGTCAAAGTCAACAATTTATTTCAACTACACATTTTATGGGTACCACAACTTTTCAATCATGCATTTCATCAACTTTTATCAAAATCTATTAAACTTTTGATTTTAATCCCCCCAACAAATAAGGACTGAATTTATATTTTCATAAAAAAAACATGTTACATGCACAATGTTATTACTAGTCAATGAATACAGTAGTCATCTCATGTGACAACTACTGTAATCGCTGACTGTGAATAACATTATAAAGCAAAATAACAAAAAATTTGATAGAATGAAATTTCCAGGAAATTTCTCGTTAGCTAAAAGGTCACCCTAAAAAGGACAATCATAAAAAAAAATGACAGCTTATTATTGCACCACATTGCTCCATATAAACGTTACAAAATAGATAGTGATATTTCATAGTACAATGAAAGTGAAGAAAATTTAAAAAAAAAAGACTATTGACTTGGAAATTGTTGGAGTCCTCTAATATACAATGGCAGTCGAGTGCTTTTATTTACGTCAAAAAGGTTATAATTTATTGATGTCATATATTTTAGGAAAAATTGCAGTCACGATACAAAACTTTTTATTTAGTTGCATACTTTGTCGAACATTTCAATTGTACCATCGTGAATACCAAACCTTTCAAAAATTCGCACTTGAAGTCCAAATGGATAGAAACCATTTGTTTAACCGTTAGTTGACCAGAGAATTTACCTTGACCATAATTTTGACTAAATTTAAGGATAAGATGGTAATTTCACATTTTTTAAAATAAACCACAATATAATATATTAATTATTAAATGAAAAAAGACAAAAATCAAAACAAATACCACCACCACCATCCCCTTCTTCCCCGAACCCCTTTACCTGAAAATCGCCACCCACCCAACGTCGACGCCACCACATACCAGTCACCATCGATCATGCCAATGGAGACCTCATATTCTCTCTCAACCTCATAATCGATTTCATCATAGATCTAGAATTTTTCAATTCATCTCTCAACTACATAATCGATCACATCCCAGAAGTTTTCAATGGAGACCCAAATCATCAACAGTAATGCCAACCACATTGAACAACCAACAAAATAGTGGTGGATTGTATTGTGTTTGTGATCGGCAAGACAAGACAAATGAAACTGGTGTATGAATTAGTTGATTTTTGTTAATATCTTTCTCAGATTTCTTCCGTTGATTTCTGTTGATTTAGTTGTGGGGTCTTGCTGTGGTGGTTCGGTATATGGTGGTGTTGATTTGTGCGGATTTTTGAAAGATTTGGTACCAACGGTGGTATAAATGAAAGTTTTGGACAAAGTTTGCAACAAAATGAAATATTTGGTACCGTGGCTGCAATTTTCCCTATATTTTATTTTATTTTATTTTACTTTTATTACTTAGTATCTGTTTTGGAGAAATTATAACGAAGAGAGGTAATATTCCACAAAATGTATACACAATAAGTGGACAGTAGTTATGAACATGTGATTAAAATTAATTTGAGTTTGATTTTAAATTACAATAAAATAATATTTTTTCTTGAACATGCCTTTTTTTATCCTCATATTTTCAAAATACATTCTCTCTTTTCTTTTTAACCAGACAATAAAATAATATTACACACAACACAAAAACTTTTCCTTCGTTTTTAACCACACATTCTCTTTCAATTTACTATTTCAAAATACATTTTACACAAAAAAATGTCCTAATTTTATAAATTTTTAGGGTCCAAGTTTTGATAGACAGCAACTTATTCCATTAGTTTTCGAAATTTTCATATATTTTGAAATTTGTGCATCATAAACTTAAAAAAAAAAAAGACTATTGTATCTTTGCCAAAATAGAAGATGGTCGAGAGTTGAGTGGATGAGAGGGGTGTTGAGGATAGAAGATGGGACAGAAGGAAAAATAAAATAGGATATATTTGAATTTGAGTGAGTGATCCGAGGCTTATTGTTGGAGTCGGTTTTTGAGTCTTCTTAAGGCTTATCCGACTTGTCATAATCAGTGAATAAGCTCCATCGTCACATGTGTGTTGTAGTCTTTATTTTGTCACATATTATCTAACTCTTTTATTGCTATCAATATCAATAGACCTACACTTCTAATAATTTCCATTAAGTTGAAAAATTCAAGAGTATGGCAATTAGAAGTAGCGCTTTTGCTCGTGTTGGAACCTCTTTCTCTTAAAATTCATTTTCCCTCAAACTCATTTTCAATCACATATTTTCTCTTAATAAAATAATTTTACACTTAAACTAAATACCTTTCATAATTTTAATCACCATTCTCCAAAAAAACCACTATTACAAAATCTATTATCCCAAAAATTGAGAAT